GGCGTCCACCCCCTCACTGTGATCTCGCCGCAGGATGCTCTCCTGCCCCTCCCTCCTCCCCCGCCTCCTTCCTCCTTCCTCCCCCTCCCCCTTCCCCCTCCCCCCGCATCTCCTTCTCTTTCCTCACCTTGGCCCTCGCCCATCAGTTCCACATGGGCTCAGTCTGGGAATACGGGCTGAAGCCTGTGGTGCATTGCAGCATTTTCTCCCAGCAGCTGTGTGAAGGATGTACTTTCCAAGCTAAGAATTTTATCCCAAGAGCACATATTACTGCTTTGGACTGTATATGATCTTCTGCCCCCGCACGGAGATGTATGTGTTGTTTTAGTCCATACCGCCCAAGGAACAGTGTCAAAGATGCCAGTTTTAATTGTGAGTGGCTCTGGCCATCTCCGCCATCCTGGAGCATTTCCTTCAAGGGAGGCTTCTAGGACCTGAGACAGTCTGATGGGTTATTGGCCCTGCTCTGTACACCCCGTACAGCAGTGGGACTGTTGGTGCTTCCTGCTGCCGAGCAGCTCGTTCAGAGGACACGGGTCCTCGCCCCCTCCTCCTCCTGCTCTGCACTCCACACCTCACCCTTGCTTCCCTGACCCACGCCTGACCTTCAGCAGATTCCCAACACGCTGAGCCCAGGATGCCTGTGGCCTCTGCTGCTTTCCTTTCTCTTCAGAATTCCCCACTGAAGAAGTTAAGTTAGACTCTGACTTGATAACCTCTTGGTGTATCAAAAACCAGGAGATCTGCCCTTTACTCCAGTTTTCTCTAGGGTGTTTCTGGCAGGAGGTCGTACAAGAGCTCCACCTGAGTTGATGCTAATACTTGTCACTACCACCTGGAATGTAGTTACTGATTGGCAAGCCGGACATTCCCCCCAGGCCCCTTCTGTCACCTGGCGATGCATCTGCCCTCTCTGCACGGATTATGCTTGAAATATAATGTTTTTCAGTGGCTCGTCGCTAGGACATGGACACACACATCCTCCGAGAGACTGTGTGCAGAGAGCACTCGGCGGGGCGGGGCAGGGAGAGGTGCAGGAGCAAGGATTCGGTTGTGTCGCGTCAGGGACCTTTGGAACCTACTGGCAGGAAGTCTGCAGGCAGGCCGTTTGGGAAGGAGTGCGGATAAAGTCAGTAAAGGTCAAGGTGAGATAGAAGAGCTCGCTCGCCCGCCCCCAGACAGCAAGCTTATCTTGGGGCGGGGTTTGAGGCTTTGGGGTGGGCAGCCAAACCAGTCAGGGGGCCAGGCAGTCAGCCTTCTTGGCGTTTAAGACACTTATTACAAAAGGATCCAAAAATCCTGTCCACACAAGGGGGTTTCTTGATGCCTTAAGCAGCTTTGGCGGGTGATAAATTGGATTTGCCTAGTCATGTGACCTCAGAAGAACTCAGACACATCCAATGCAGAAATAAGTTTCATTTGGGGGAGAAAATGTCTGTAAATATTCTTTGCTTTCCAGGTTAGATTGGGATGCATCAGGAGTTTTCAGTACTTTTTCTTTAAACACTGATGGTCACTGAAGAGTGTTTATGTGAACATCTGCCGGGTGGAGGTTCCTATCCGGGTGATGTAGG